TTTTTTTTTTTTTTTTTTTTTTTTTTTTTTTTGGAGGGGTTAAAGTATGCAGTTGAAAAAAAAAATGTGCATTAATCAAATGATATAGAAATGTGAACTGTTGAACGAGCAGGTGAATGCATATGATTCAGAAGAGTACTCAAAAATGACAACAACAGCAACATTGATAACGTCAGAAGAAAGCACATGTTGTTTCTGCTATTATGATTAACTGTTAAGTATCAACAAAAGAAAATTACTATTTATATCAGAGTATTCTTTGAATTTTGTGAATTCTCTTAATTAGGTAAACAAGAATTAGAAAAAAAAAATGAAATAGCAGAATAGTCCAAAAAAAAAAAAACGAAAAAAAAAATAATAATGACAATAATGGATGTTGAACAAGAAAACAGAAACTGTGCAGTTTAGAGGGTCACCAATAGGTTTTTAATTTTGTTTCATTTTTTTTCAATCAGAGTTTTTTTTCACTTTATTTTGATTTGTTTTACTCTTGCTCTTTTTTTTTTTGCTTCTCGAATCTTCTGTTATTTTACATCTTTTTATTCTACTCTTGAAATAATTGATTTTGACAGCAGAAGCCAAGAAAATGGTATCATGCTTTTTCCTTCTGCAATCTTGTTTTGTTGCCATTTGCTGTTGTTCCCTTCGCCTTCCCCCAAATGATGTGTTTACCGCAAAAGTTACCGAACCAAAGTATGCAGAATTAGAAAACACGAAAAAGATTATCAAAAAGTTCTGAAAAAGAAAAAAACGGTTGAAAAAATAATAATGGTCAAAACAGGTTAAAAAAAGAACAGTATGCTCATTTGTGGATTTCCTTATCTATGCTTAATAAATAAATGACAAAAAAGAAAAAACAGTTGATGTTTGAATTGAGCTGCGGTCAAATATTGAACATTTATTGGTGCATTGATTAAGTAAGGAAAATAACCACTGCTCTTTGGTTGCTTAGCGTCGATTGTAAATCGGTGTGGTCCACAAAGTTCGAACTCATATATTTGAACCTCAGTTCCACAGTTTGTTGGTCACGACAGATAATAACGATAATGATGACGTTTTCAGAATGTTGTGGTAAGTGGCAACAGCATTGACAGCTTTCAACTGTTAACGTTGTTTAGCCACTGTGCTAATCAGTCAGCAGTCCAAATTGCTGCTTACGGTAATTGTTCAAACCAATGTTTTTCATAATTATGATTTTTTTTTTTTTGTTCTTCAACTCTAAAAACATTAATAACAGCGCAAAAAAAAACCCCTGTATTTTTTAACAGTTTTATGCCACCAACTTTTGAACAATTATTTTTGTAGTGTTTAAGAAAAAGGTTGTTTTTGGGAGTAATGAAAAGAAAACTGTTCTTATAAACCAAAATACAGCCGGAGAAATTACCGTATTGTATCCTCTTATTTCTTCTGTATATTGGCCGTCTATTTGTTTTTTTTTTTTTTTTTTTTTATTTTTTGACTTACAGTATAGAAGTTTTAAAAAGGTAATCTGAAACTAAACGATTCAATTAAATCTTAGTCAAAAATAGGTTTTTTTTACTATTTCCTTTAAAAATTGGCAGAATTAGGGCGAAGAACCTGTTTCAGCAAACAAAAACAAAAAAAACGTAAAATACTTATATTCTGATTTATTGTACGTATAGAAAGTTCTATTAAAGTTAGTTTCTGTCTTACTTCAAAACAAAATTCAACGAGTCATGACACTTTTTTTTGCATATGCATAACTTTTTGAAATCAGTTGCCTACAAAATCAGCAGTATCAGTAATCGTGGTCGTCGATGGCATCAGCATCATCGTCAACATTATCATCATCATCAGAATAGGCAGCAACAAGTATTCAAAGCCATAACAAATATGACAAACAACATCGTTTTTAGGTCTCGTCAGATTTTTAAATCATTCTCGAATAC